TGGCGCACCGCCAGCCCCACACCGGCCCCTTAGGACCCACTCACCACTTCCGTCGGGTCGTACTTGATACCCAGGATCCGCACCCTCACGTGTGTCCCGGGCTGTATGTGTGTGGTCTGGTCCACCGACACCCAGCTGCTGTCGCCGGAGGAGTCGAACTCGAACTCCTCCGGGATCAGCTGCGGGATAACCGCAACCACCACAACCGACAGTGAGGGTAACGACAACGACGACAAGTGGCAGCAATGATAACATTAGTACCAGCAGCAGTGGCAGTAACCCGTCAAACATACCGACAAACATAATTCAATGATGTCAGAGGGCGCATCCCCCTTTTCAGACTGACAGACAGCTACTGCGATGTCCAAGATTGTTCAACGTATATGAATCTTGCCTTCCTGCCCCTCCCCTTCCTCCCCCTCCCCCTCCCTTTCGCCCCCCGAGGTTGTTCCCACCGGGGAGGGCGGGGAGGGGGAGGGGGATTGCAACACGGGGTCAGAGGGCGGGGGAGGAGACGGGTATCACTCACGTGCTGTGTCACGAAGAGCTGCAGCGGCCCCGCCTGGGCGAAGAAGCCCATCTACCCGGGAGGGAAGGGGGCAGGGACGGCAAGGGAGGGCGGGAGGGGTGAGTCCAGGGACAGGGGACGGTTGGGGCAAACGGGGTTAAGGGGCAAAGCAGGCAGTGCCACCACCCTCACTAAACCGGGTGGTGTGGTGAGGGGGGCCGCACGCAAAAGGGGACACGGGCACGGGAGGGGAGGTCGCCACACAGCACTAGCTGACCTCCCGGGTGCCCTCCTCACGGATCCAGGGGGGGATACTGCAGTGTCGTTTAAGGGCCTGCGGCTAACTGGTGGTTACCGCATAAGCATGTAAGTAGGTAGGTGGGTAGCAGGGTAGGTATGTAAGTGCCCGGCTCCGCGGGGGGCCCTGGTACCTTGTTCACGGAGGTCACGACCGCATCAAGCACCTCCTTCTTGTACGGCCGGCACACAATGCAGCCGTACGTCACATCGAAGGTGGCGAATCCGGACTGGTCCTGACGGATACGGCCCTGACAGAGCAGCACAGCAAATGAGGGGCAGGACGCAGGAGGGATGGGGGAGGGGAATCGGCCTGATGTGGATGTGGTTTCGGGACTCCAGATACCGGACGTTACTGGCGGCTGCGTGACAAGTTTGCGCATCAGTGCCCTCCAAGTAGGGAGAGGACGTACCCGGCCAATGTCATCGACCTTCGTCACCGCGACCACGTAGCCATACTTGCCCGTACAGGTACCCTCAGTCTGTGGGCGCGATTTATCAGCTGCGGTAGACTGCTGGCGACATGGACCCTAAGAAAGACGCCCACCTCTGCAATAAGCTTTTCACGAATGACCTCTCGAAGCTTAGGTCCAAAGTGTTTAGGATGGATGTCAATTGACTTGTTAAGGGTCAGGTAATAGAACATTTCCGGCCCAGGGGCCCCGCAGCCGCTGGGCTGGGCGAAGGCTCTCTGTAGCTTTCAGCAAAGTATAGCAAATCCAGACGCTTGTGAAGGGTGCAACGCGATAACCTGAGCCGCAAGCGAAAGGAGCTTCAGACTACACAAGGCTGCACTTTAATTGGTGACGAGGTAGTAAGAGGCAGTGCGGACCTTCGGGAGAAAGCTATCCAAATGGATGTTGGGATGCTTCTCCTTGCTTTTTCTGGTCACCACCTTGCGTCGGTACGGCGAAGGTGCTCAAAAATGCAGATGAGCCAAGTCATGGACCTAGAGGGCTAGAGAAGCAACGAGCTGAAACTGATAAAAGATAGCCACAAGCTTTGCTCTGGCGTGCTGTTGCTCATGCACCCAGGAACTCCCACATTCATAGCTCCGCGTTTGCTTACACCGTAACCATATCTTTTAAGTTATTTCGTCCCCAAGATTTGACCGGGTGCTAAGGTGCACAATAAAAACCATTCATTCCATAGGAATGTCCACGTTTTCAGTGCCCAAACCGTTTTCGTGGCCTAGCGTTAAATTTAGGATTCTTGGACACCAGCCGCAACAGGATAGCTTAACTATACAAAGGAAACAGGGCAAAGCGGTGTGTCCCGCAAAACCTGAATCGACCGTACCAGTAGTACGTCATGGGATAGATGAGGGGGCACGGACCACAATACTGGAACGCATTTACGAGCTCTGAGTGTGATAAGAAGCTTTATGGGAAGGTTAAATTTTTTTCGCATTCGAACGATATCTACTGAACCACAATTTGGCGTTTCTATTGAGTATGGTAGTGAGTAGGTTTTCGTTAAATCTAGATACGTCATTTGGATTTATTATAGTTGTTTTTGTGTTTGTAAAGGCGACACGGCTCTTGGCTGCAAGTGTATGACAAATACAAGAATTTAACGTGCATTCCATCAAAGCGTATGACCTCTTGGTGCCGTCATTAGCAGGAAACAGCATTACCGTCATGCCTGGACGGAACAATCGTGCCCGGGGCCAGGGCGGGGTTGATGCGGTCCTTCGGGATGACATGAACAACTATCGAAAAGCCTTGGATAAGATGCGGCAAGCGGAAAAGCTCAATGCGGAGCGCGCACTGGAGCACAGGCTGCTTTGGGAAAAGCTTAAGAAGCTTAATCCACATCCCACGGTAAGGGAAGACGGGCAGACGGACGAGGCGGAAAACAGCGCGTACGTGTCAATAATCGTTTTGCAAATCGCGTAATGTGCAAAATCTATTCGTGGTACCTTAACCTTATTCTTAAGCCTTCTTTTCTGGTGCCTATCATTACCTAGTTTGACCTATCCCTTTCCGCACACTCTCTTTCTCTCTCTCTCTTTCTGTCCCTCTATCTCTATCTGCATGCTACAAACCATGGTACAATATTTTCCACTGAATATCCCGAAAACAATACAATATGCCTAGCGCGCGCACTCCGGAAAAACGCAGCCGATGCGAACAGCGCACGCGCACAGCTCAAGCACAGCGCAAGCCCTCGTCCCACCCAACCCCATTCTCTACCTCGCGCTTACCTTCACCCCCACATTCTTCTCCCTTGTCCTCCCTCCTTCCCCTCTTCCCCCTCCCCTCCTCCAGGATGAGGACCTCTTAGCTCATGCCCAGCGACTAGAGGACCAGGGCTTGTTGTCAGAGGCCGCTGACGTCATTCAGCAGCTGCTGCTCCGCCCGGATCAGTTCCACAATAAACAGCTCCGAGACCACCTGGCTGAGCTCGTCAAGAGGGTCAACAGGTGGGTGGGCCCGACGAGGGGGATTGGGAAGGACGGTTGAACCCGGGGCTGTGGGGCATTGTCGGTCCTGCATTGGGGATAGGATTTCGGAGGGAGGTACACCTTGGGGTCGGCTACCTTACTCTTAGGTGAGGTAGGGTTACCCCCCATGTGTGTCAGCGGTGTCAGCGGTGCTTTGTTCCCCTGCAACCCCCCGGCCCCCCGTGGTATCAGCATCACTCGTCTGTGGTTCGTCTCCCCCCCCTACCCCTCTTAACCCCCTACACCCCGTACCCCGCAGGCGGCAGGCTGAGGCCAAGGTGCTGGAGCGGGCCGCCGAGTTGGAGGAGGAGGGCCGGTTGTGGCCCGGCCGACCCAGGGGTCTGCAGAGCCCCCGGGAGAGGATACCCGGAGTCCCCCGGGCAGATAAACCCGTGGGTGAGTGAGTGTGTGTGTGTTGGTATGTATGTGTGTTTTAGGGAGCGGATGATCGGGGGTTTCGGGTAACGAGGAGGCCAGTGAGAGGGGCGGCGACTGGGAACGGCTTGGGAAAAAAGGGGGAAGGGAGGAGCAGCCGCGGTGGGGCAAGGGGTGCTGGTAGGACCGCTGGAATCCCCGGGGAGGGCTGTTTGTCGTACTACCGTGTCCACGTGCTTTGCCCGCTGCCTAATGCGGTGGTGGGTATGAGGGCCCCTTTCCCCCTCGCTGCCACGAGGGGTCCCCCCATTGCCAACCTCCTCCGACACAACTTGGATGTGATCGCCGTTGTTTGCTGCCCTCCCCGCCCGCCCTCTCCCCCTCCCCCTCCCCTCCCGCCCTCTCCCCCTCCCCTCCCGCCCTCTCCCCCTCCCCTCCCGCCCTCTCCCCCTCCCCTTCCCCTCCTGCCCTCTCCCCCTCCCCCTCCCCCTCCCCTCCCCCTCCCCCCCTTGCCCTAAACCCCCACATCAGGTCCCATGATGCCCATGTCGCCGGATGCCTACAGGGCCGAGCTCGCAGCGCAGGTGGTGGGGGGGGAGGAGGCTGCCTGGCGGGGTGAGGGGTATGGGACGCGGGACACCATGCATGGATGTCCGGCTACTCGTGATCGGAGGCGGACCTCTTGGCGGCCGCACACGTCACTTGATATTGGGGATGTGGCAGGGGGTTCACTGCTGTAAATGCATACACGCATACATACACTCGCACACGTGTGCGAGTCATGCGCTGTGTAAGGAAGTGGCGAAGTGAGAGGGGGAGGAGGGGTACTCATTGAGAGTGAGGGGGCACTGACGGCTGGTTGTGGGGTCTGTGTGTCCCTCGGCAGGCTATGGCGAACAGGAGGCGGCGGGAGGAGGCGCGGAAGCAGGAGGAGCTCCTGGGCCAGAAGCAGATCGCTGTGGCGGCGGCGATGGTGGGTCCAAACAGAAAAAAAGAAGGCCATAAGGAGGCAAACGGAGGGACGGAATGAAGGACGCAGCAGTGCTTCCATGGGGGGGCGTGGGGGCCCGGGAATCAGTGTACGACACCAGCGGCCGCGCGGGATTGAGGTTGTGCTGGTGTGGGGGTCGTTACTTTGGCGGTTGGCCCGGTGGCGTGGCATGGATCCTAAAACCCCCGCTGTGAAACCCAACCCCGTGCGTTTCCCCCCCACACGCACACACGCACAGGAGGCCCTGGATCAGCACCGGCGGCGGGTTGGGGGGGCCAATGACCGGCTGTCACTGGCGGTGGAGCGGGAGGAAGAGCTGAGGGAACGAGAAGAGGAGCGCCGCCGCCAGTTCTACCAGGTGCGTCTGTACATGTGTCTGTATATGTGCCTGTATATGTGTCTGTACGTGAGGTGGTCGGATTGCTTGATAGGCCCACCCCCGTGTTATGCCTCACGGGTGCCGTACATGACAACCTGGCTAACACGCACATACCCGGCAACCCCCCGGACCACCCTTTGGCTGCGGCAGGAGTGGGATCGGCTCAAACCCGCTGGAGGGCCGGAGGTACGGCAGTCGTACGACCTGGAGGAGCGGCGCCGGGAGCAGGTGCACCCGGGGTGTGATGCCGGGAGGGTTGTTGCTGGGGCCGCACCAGGGAGGGGTATGTGCGTATGTATGTGGGAAGGGGTCTGAGGGGTTATAGGGGTGCTCGACCTGGGGGGGGAAGGCGGTTTCAAACCCAGCATCACCCCGCCTGGTCGCTCTGAACCCCTACCCCTAGGTCCAAGGGGTCCACGGCCACCGGGCATCCGTACGGAATTCGTACGACGTGCTGAACCAATATCAGGACGCCGATGGTTATTACCCTCGTGGGCCCGGGCACGGGGAGCCCGGCGGCGCCGTCGCGGCGGGGCCCCGTCAGCGGCCCTCATCCGCTGGGGCGGCGGCGGCGGTAGCTGTCCGGGAGCGCGAACGAGAGCGCAACAATGCGGCCAACTTTGAGCGGTTGTACGTGCCCGTACATCCGTACGCGCCTGCCGGGGGACCGCCGCAGCGGCACGAGGCCTGGCCGACGCCGCCAGCGGCGGGGAGCCCCCGACCTGGTGCCGTACCGGGGGGACTCCGTGGCGTGCTCAAGTCGCCGTACGCTCGGCCCGACGTGGATAAGCCCCGAGTGCGCATAGACCCCCAGGTGGGGGGGGAGAGGGTTTTGCGGGGGAGTTGATGCATTGGGCTCTCTACCACCACCACCATAACCACCACCAGCACTTCCAGTACCGCTACTGCAGGGCGGGATGGGTATTGGGCGGGCGAGGGGGTCCGCGGGGAAATGGGACAACTGCGCCCTTACCCGGGCTTAGGAGGAGGGAGGGGGGTTGTGTGCCTGGCTGTAGTCAGAAGACCGCAATCCGAGTGGGGCAAGGAGGGGTTTGTGAACTGTATGTACGTCTACCACGACCGCCGCCACTGGTGGAAAAACCCCCCCACCACACACACCAGTCACTTAAGATAGCCGCTTGCGGCCCGCGGTGTCCAGGTCTCAGCTCTTCACATACATACATACATACATGCATACATACATACAGACAGACAGACAGACAGACAGACGAACACACCTCCCCCTCCCACCCCCTCCCGGCCGCCCCGCTGGCGCCTCCAGGTGGTCCGAGGGCACCAACAAGCCTTCATTGAGAAGCACCGGAAGCCGGAGCCGCCACCCCGGCAGGAGGTGCCGCTGAGGGTACGGAAGGAAGCGGCACGGCGACCCGACCCGCCCATCATTGCGTACGGCACCGGCGGAAGGAGTGCGTGGCCCTAGGGCGGTGAGGAGCACCGAGCCGCCGAGGAGTGGAGTCGGTGGATGGTGGGCTGTCCGGGTGATGGGGGTTTGGACAGCGAAGTGGACGTGTGTGCGGCAGGAGCCGTGGAGCGAGGGAGTGGGTGCGCGCACAAGAGCGAGCGAGCGAATAGTGTTTCCATCCAAGCAGCGGGATTTCGTGCCAGTTATGTTGGCGGTTGGAGATTGGTTGCTGATAGCCAGGAGAGCTGCGTGATGAAGTCTTGGGATAGCTAGATTCCGCAGGTGCATTTGTGTCAGGCAGGTGTCGTACAGGCAGGTGTGTCCCCTTGGAGGGGGCATGCGCACAGGAGGTTTCTGTGTGTGTGTGTGTGTGTGTGTGTGTGTGTGTGTGTGTGTGTGTGTGTGTGTGTGTGTGTGTGTGTGTGTGTGTGTGTGTGTGTTGCTGTGTATGTGGCAAGGAGGTGCCCCGACGAGGCGGCCCAGCCCGGCAGCACTTGGCGTCCCTGGGCAATAAACCCCTAACTTTTTACCAGGGCCGCGGCGTTATGCTATTACCTGCATGTCGTTAGTGTTGCAGTTGGCTAGTTGGGAGCTGGTAGATGTAAGCGTGCTGCCAATTGCAGGCGTGAGTTACGCTAGGATGGGGTAGGGTAGGGTAGGGTAGGGTAGGGTAGGGTAGGAGAAACGGCGTTCGGTGACAGCTGCTAAGTTATTCTGCCCCGCTCAGGCGAGTTCCCGTAAAGATGGTTTAGCTGTCGTACATTCTGATGTCGATTCCGCTGTATATATAGATTCTCGTAAGTTAACTGTCCCTGCCTCCGGTTTTACCCTTGTGCCATAATGGGGCCGATATAGTTCGTCGTAAATCTCTAATCCAAATTAGTAGGTCGTTGGGAGCTGGTGCACCTTCTCCTGCAGTGGTCAGCGATACAGCGGGCTCGGAAGCAGCGGTGGGGGGTGCAGGGTGGCGGTGACCCTGATACGGGCGACGAGTGGCGACGCTGTGTTGCCCATCCGGCGGGGATGTTAGTCTGCGGGCATGCGTATGTCCGTATGTATGTACGTATGCATGTGCGTTTTTTCCAGAAGTTGATGTCAAGATCTCAATGACCTGGTGTCCGGCGGTTCCGGGGCTATATCGATGACAACTGTTAATTCCACGTCATACATTCCTAACCGACCATTTTGCGCCTTGTCAAGTTATCGATGAACGTACCAATTGTGTCTGTAGTACGGCCTGTAGGGCCCATAAATACGCTATAGGCTGCCGCGAGGATTTAATCCAGGGGGGCCGATGACCGCTGCCGCTTTCTTTTGAGCGGCCCTCCTGCCGGGAAGATCTGTTAGCTGTTATGGTCACTTGTGTGCGACCTATGGGCCACTGCCCTCTGATGAACTCCGCCCCGCACCATGCCAGGCTGGAGTTGTATCAGATATGGTGTAGGGTCGGGCGGAGGTGCGGGTGACTATTGGTCCTGAGAGCTGCTTGAAGCTAAGGCCCGGCCGGGACACCCGTGCAGATGCCGCCATACGTTTAAAGGGAACTTGGATTGTCAATGACAAACTTGCGCGGGGCGGAGGGCTCCTTTGGGGAGCCCGCCAGCGGGTGTCCTGACTCGCTGATGCGGGCTGGTGGAGCTGCCGGCTGGTCAACTTGTTTGCGGCACTAACCAGCACAGTAGTAGTACCACTGCGCCGGCCGCTGCCGACATTGTGAAGTTACGTTGCCCCACCACATTCATCCATCCATCCGCCACACTGCGCGGCACGTGCGCTGCAGGTGCAGGTACAGTACCCGGGTCCTGCACACCGATGTGCGGCTGTGGGCCTTTTTGGAGTAACCACAATTGCTACAGTAATAAAATAACAATTGGTTCCAGTAGGATCGCATACCGGTAGGCACTGCAGCACCCAAGCCCTGTAATTGGCTAGGAAAGGCCCCTACATGCCGGGCGGCCGGAGGTTGCTAAAGAGGACGACCCTCTGGAGCTGGTGGCGGTGTTTGTTGAGATGTGACCTACAGCATAGACTAATGGGAGCTATGCTGAAGGGTGACGACCTAAGTGAATTGGAAATCGAATTAAGGAACACAGCGCATGTTAGTCCTGTTGGCTAACACAGAAGACGGAGGTGAGAGCGTCCGAAGTGTTGGTTGGCCCACAGCAAGCTCAGGTTCGAGGGGGCTGAGAGACACGCACATGCACACGCACATGCACACGGACATACGCATACGCAGGCATAAAGAGCTTCCTCAGAGGGACTTAAGAGGGCCGTAAAGCTCCCTTGTCGCTTTCCCCCCTTTACCGGGCTTTCCCACACACACGAGCTCTCCTGTCTTGCTGTCCAGTCGCCTCCACTGATGCGAACCACTGATGCCTTCCCTCCCTTCCATACAGCGCTTCGCAGCACGCACCTCAGGCCCATCCCCCCTTGTTCAACTACTGCCGCGTTCATTACGAAGGAGCTTGGACCTATCCACCATGCCGCAAAAGAACCTGCGCCAAGACACACGCACGCACAGACAGACACACACACACTGTGTAGGACAGCCAAAACACACACCATACCTTTTGCCGCCTGCGCCCACAGCCCTGGACCTGTCATACGCCCGCCATCCATGCGTTACACCACGCTGCTGCAATGCCCTGCCCCGCTCCCTCCCCCCACGGCGCTCTCTGCACCTGCATCCCCTCCCGTCAACTAGCTAGTCTCCTCCTCTGCTACAGACCCACGCCTCCTCCTCCTCCTCCTCCTCCTCCTCCTCAAGCTTTCCGCGGTAAGCCTAGCCATGACGAGAAGTTATTGCACGTCCCGTCATTGTGAAATCGTGAACTGCAAGAGTGTGTACGGTTGCTGCGACGCAAGACGTTTGTTGTGATGGAGGGCACAAGGGCCTGCTGTTGCGAACGAGACACGGGCTCTCTGCATCCGCAAGGATGGCGAACCCACCCCGCAGTAACCCACCCGCCTCCTCACACACACACACACATAACACTCCACTGCGCCAAGCAATAGCAACAACAACAACTTGTTGCGTGTTAGCGACACATCAGACTCTCCGCTCATCCTCCTCGCCTTTACAGCCCCCTGAAGTGAGCCGAGGAGCTCCCAGGGGCCCTCGTTTACTCCGGGTGCCGCTGCCATCATCACCCCGCCGCTGGCTGCCCTGAGACAACGCCAATTTCAATCCGCGTAAAATCCCCTTTCCCCCCTCCAAGCAACCCCTCTCCTCTACTTCCCCCCACTCACCCCATCTTCAACAAGCTTCTAAGAACACGACGCGGTTGTACGCGGCTGCCTTAAGTAGATGCACGCTGTATCTAGAGAGGCACCACACCTCACTTAAAAGCTATGCGAGTGAAGCGAGATGAGGAATTCAAGTTGCCCGTCGCCCTGCGTTTTCCCCCCATTCCCTCACCCCCCCACTGCCCCCGCTGGATCCTCACATGCTGCTTGCATCCCCCATCAGGAAAGGCCCGAAGTCCTGTTCGTCCTCCGCACCCGCAGCGGCCCCCGGCACCCCCAGGGCCCCCGCCAGACCGCCACCCGCCCCCCCCACCGCCGCCCCCAAGTCCCACTTAGACCTCTCCCGGGCCGTGACCTTGGACTGGTAGGCACGGTCCTGCGACACCTGCAGATGGCAGTTGGTACGGCAAAGGACGCCGAGAACAGTTGAAGAGGGCGTCATAAGGCCTCTTTCCCGAGGAGCTACTAGGAGCTGACAGGCCCCACGACAACATCAGCCCTACAGAGGCACACAAAGGTCCGCAGCCTCTCGTATCCCGACTGATTGCGATTTCGAACCCATATGGTGCGAGGGGCCTCGATCCCAGGGTGCGATAAAAGTTCTCCCTTTGCACACACCACCCAACTCCCGCTTACGCCGAAGCCCAAGGCCAGCCTGGCAGCCCCTGCAGACCCCCGGGCATCTGCCTTGACGCACCATTTCATGCGCCTGCTGCAGCCTCTTCCCCAGCTCCAGAACCTGCCGCATGCGCCCATCCAGGGCTGCAACACCGCCAGCGCTGTCCCACAGAGATCCACCCCCGGCGGCTGAAAAAGAGGAGGAGGAAGCGGCGGCCCCGGACGCCGCCCAGGTCTCATCCGCGAACCGCACCATCCCCGTCCGGCCGTCAATCTTGGCGTGGATTTGACCCGCGGCCACCATCCTACAACGCGATGGAGGGATCCACAGGAAAATGTTGTCGCGATGGTACCACGTGGTGATAGTGCGAACATGTATTGATAGCAGGGGCAACGACGGCACACAGCGGGAAGCAGACGCCGATGGCTGATGGTAAAAAGGGAGAAAGGTTACCAGAAGGGATTCTGTGCCTACACGGGTGGATCAGGCGGGTGGGGCCGCCTTACAACCCCCCGGCGACCACCACCCCTATCACCATCAGCACCCCCCCGATCACCACCTCCCTGCCACCTGAGTATCCTGGCCTCCGCCTCCTCCGCCCCCGACAACCCCGCGTTAGCCGCGATGTCCGTCAGACTGAGTGTGAGGAAGGTCTGAGTGAGGCGCTGAATGGAGCAAACCGTCAGAGATGCGACCACCTGACGAACCAGGCCCAGGTTGTTGTCCTGAGCAGGGGGAGGGGAACGGAGGGAGGGAGGGAGGGTTGGGGGGAGGGAGGGAAAGTACATGCAAGAGGGAGGCGAGGGGGGGAGCAGGGAGACGGGCAGTGCGGTAAGAATGGCCCGGGGCAGCATCAGGGGCATGGGCAATAGCAGCAGCAATAGCAGGGGCAAGGAGGAAAAGGACGCCAACGGGGAGATGTTGCGAACAGGGGCGGGGGAAGACATTACATCAGAGGGGCTTCGGACCAGGAAGGATAAAAAGGGCGCCGGCAGCTGCCCACGTGCCGCCCGCTATGTACGGCCCGTACACGCCCTATACCCGCACGATCCTTACCGCGGTAAACACCGCCGTGTGCTTGTTGGCAATCTGCCTCAGCTTCTCCGGGTTCCGGGAGGCGTACGCAGCCGCCAGCTTGTTGTACGGCCTAGCGTCGGATTCAATCACCTGCCGTACACATGATGACGTGAACTTGGGCAGCGGCAGCATCTGGCCTGTGAAGGGGAGGAGGGGTGAGGCCGCGGCGTGTCGCATCGGATTGGGGGAGCAGCCCGGGCTCCAGGGTTTCAGACGCACACCCGCCCCAGCCCCCGCATTAGCCGGGGCCTTGCATGGGCTCCCGTACCCCCCCCCTCACTCACCTGCATGTATGAGGCAGACCAGCACGTACTTCTTATACGCCGCCGCCACGATCGCATTACCCGCCACCGCGGGCGCGGTGATGGCCTGCAGGAGCAGCTCCAGAGCCCGGGCGTGCTGCTTGCGACCTGGGGCCGCGGGGAAGCAGGTGCTAGGGGCATCACATATCACATCACGTCAAATCACATCACGTCATATCAAATCCCATCACATCACAGCGCTACACGCAGCCAAGATGTCCTCCGGACAGGCGGGCCCCCACCGCACCGCACCGCACCGCACCCGACCTTCCGCCCTGCACCTCCACCTCCACTGCGGCAGTGCCCCCCGCAGATCCACGGCCTCCCGCCCCCGTTGTGCCTTGGATACGCCCCTCGTCACTCCCCTACCATGCTGGCGCCTGGCGTGGCCCGCCACCGCTCCGCCACCAAACACCTCCATGCAAGATGCCTGACTCCCGCCCTCCCTCCCTCCACTCCGCACATCACAACACCTGTCACCACTACCCACCAGGACAAGACAGGCGACCCCACCGCCCACCGCTCCATCAAGGAGTGTGGCGGGCGTGGCTGGAGTGCTGTAATGCATCACGACCTCCAACCCCCCGCCCTATCCCAGCCCCGTCTCCTCTCTCTGGCCCCCCCCCTCCCCCACACATACCTATGCACAGCATGCCGCCATAGTAGCAGTACAGAAAGAGGTCAGTGGGGGTGCAGCTGGTTTGCTGCGGAGCCACATCGAAGATGTCGTCCGCCAGTACGGGCACCGCGGCGTTGTAGCACTTGGACAGCAAACAGCTGCCGCAAGCGGGGAGCAGGGAGAGAACAAAACACACACACATACACACACATGCACACACAACCCGAAGGGAGGGGGGGGGAAATCGGAAGACCAGAGGAATCAGTGTAGGTTGGAATGCCGTGTAGGTGGGGGCGACTCTCATCACGGCGATGCAGGCCAAAGCCTTGGAGCTGCGCCCCTTGCACCCCACGACGTGCGGTCGCGGTGAGGTACGGTGGCGGCCGTCGGTTGGCCCGGTAGATGCACACAGTCATCCGCAACAAAATAAACAAACTGAAGTGAAGTGAAGCGGCACATGGGTCAACACGGCAGTCCCATGGAGCTCTCCTCCAACAGCAGTTGCTCACTGGCTCGCGCAGCCCGACACCCCCCCCCCAAGGCATCAGCAGCTAGGCGCCACAGCGTACATGTGGCAGCCCTGAGTTCCTTCCCCTCCAGACGTGTGCCTCCGCGTCAAGGCACCCCTTTGCCACTTCAGCCACTAGCCTACATTCCCCTAACACTTCCGGGGCCCTCCCCCCCTCCTTCCCGCCCTCCCCACCAGGGTGTTCGGGCGGGCCCGTCTGGTTTTGAGTCACGTCGTGTCCTGCCTTCCCCAGCCAAACTTTGTTAAACCATACTGCCGTAAGTCGGTCTCCCCTGGTTCTGTGACCATTTCCCCTCCTGGCCCCCTCCTGCCCCCCTCCTGCCTCCCTCTCCCTCACAGCTGAAAGAAGTCGGCGTGCAGCGGAGTGAGCACCTCCCGGGTGGGCTGCAGGGCCCGCAGAGCCGCACGCAAGGGGAGGATACCCTGGCGGGGGGTGTTGGCAGCGATCAGGTGCTCCTTGTACTTGCGAGCCGCGGAGCATACTGGACAGCGGGACAGCGGGACAACGGGCAGGCCCAGGACAGGGAGGGAAGCGACAGAGAGGGGGCCGTCATACCCATGGAGGAAAGCGCATTCGAACATGTGGTGGAAACAAGCAAGCAAGTAAGCAAGGTGATTGTGTAGCGAGGAGGACGGAGGGAACTGAATGGCTTCGATGTGCTAGCTAGTGCTAGAGGCAGGGCCGTTGCTTGTGCTAGATGAAGGCAAAGGCACATAGGCAAGGGCAAGGCTTGCGCGTACTGTAGGTTTGAGTTTGGGGGAATGAGTGAGGGGAGGCGAAGGGGTGAAGGGAGGCGGAGGCAGCCTGGCCGCTTTTCCTCCCTCCCCAAAACTGTGGAACCCATACCACAACATGCCGTACAGCAGGGATTTCTTCAGCCCCTGTTGTTGCCCTTCCTTTGGCTAGCCAAAAATACACTGGAATTGTTACACGCCATCGTTCTCACAAATGTCTGGCGCTAGTTGGATTTGCCCCGCCTGGCAAACAGTGAAGAAGCGTGTGGCGTTGTCGATGAAGGCCACGTCAGGCAGATGCAGGTTGCCCCTTCCCAGATGGTGGCTGCGGATGGAGCCACGGCATGACACCATACTTAATATCTAACATATTGTGTCATTCGCCGTTGACGACTGCCAAGCCGATGTCGAAAAGCGCCAGATCGTTACTCACAGGAAATAAGCGAAGCCCAGGGAGTGCTGCACAGGATCTAGTGCCTGTAAAGCTGGTGCAATATGCTGGTAATTCTGGGTAAAGGTTGTATCGGAGTTTTTCAGCGTGGTTTGCAGCTGGGACAAGTCGTTTGGATTGGAAAGTGCTACTACTTGCGCAACCAGCGCCTCCATTCTTTAGTCCTAGGTTTGATTCAATTCTATGGGCGAAGTTGTCCTCTACCACGCCGGTCGGTTTGTCCAAACTGCAAATTTGAGAAAGCAGAATTATTTATTATTATGAAAACATGTTGCTGTAGGAAAACAGCCCCTCGCATGGATATCATCATTGGTGGGGATTTTCGATTGCGCTGTCGACCCGCCAGGTTGCGGGTCACCGGTTAGCGGCATCGTGCCGTGCTGTCCCACGCCATGAGAGGTCAGCTCGCGCAGCCCCCAAACTGCGCAAACCAAACTTATAAGCACATCTTCAAGCAACTTTCCTTTGTACTTTAGTGATAGGCCTGTAAGCATAGCTCCACCGACAAGCTTAGGTTTAACGAGCCATGTCGAAGTCAGAGCCAGAAGGAACTAGGCTGGTTCTCTTGGAATACCATCGGGGCCACCTCAGCACGTCAATCGATATTACATCTGGACGTTGCGCTAGCGCTGAGGATGCTGTGGCGCCGAGCAGGACCGCTTGCCGACCTTCGCAACGATCCATCCTGTCCGGTGTGGCTTCCTTACTCCGCGCGGCCTTCCTTCCCGAGGGCTTCCCGGAGTCCGTCTCTCCAGATTATCTAAGTGCGTGCATGGCTGGGTCGTTGGTTGGGGCCCCCAAAGGCAAAGGACTAACTAAAAGGCTGGTCAACGCACGGCCTTGCCGTATCACTCCTGAGTTGGGGTCCCCCTTCCTCACACAGCCCTTTGGATGCCAGGACCTAAGCTGGATAGACAAAAACTTACGGACACACATTTACCACTTCTTGGCAGCAGCAGTTGCACCAGCAGCATCAACAACAGCAGCAGTGGCAGTAGCCCTGGACCACCGCATTCGGTGTAGCGGCTCAGGCCCCGACGGCCCCCGAGGGCTTCAGCACTCCGGCGATCTGGGTCAACTCAACCCTCCCTAACCCCTCCCTAACCCCTCCACCCCCTCCACCTCCACCTCCTAGGCTTTCAGACCTGGGACACCATCCAAGCCTTATCGTCGTACGTCCGGGGGGTGCTGACCAGCCAGGCGATACTGAGGGGGGTCGGGGTCGGCCAGGAGGTGTGTACGGCAGGGTTTCGGAGCGCTGTGGGGGCCATCGGAGGGAGAGGAGTCCAGGGAGGGACCGGGAAATGTTAGGGAGCCCTGCCTTAGGGAGCAGCGGAGGGAGAGCGCACGTGGGTTTCCGTGTGTAGATGTGGACTGTGGGTTTGCGGGCGTGTGTTGGATTGGGTAGGTTGGGGCACGCAGTGGCGGTGTGTGACACAACGACAGCAGCGGCAGTTGGGAGCTGATTTCGGAGCCACCAGCCCAGTCAGGGCCCAGTCTCGTTCCGTCCGATAACTCTGCCTGTTCCGCCCCCCGCCCGGGGGTCCACCCCGCCCCCCTATGTGTCACACACATACACACATACACACACACACCAGGCGAGCACTCCTCTGGCTGCGGTGTTCACCTTCTTCGTTCGGGACCTGGCGGGCATGCTGGGGGGAATACTGTTCTCGTACCTGGAGGTACGGCAGCGTAGCGGTACGGCACTGTGAAGTCCGCCAAAGATTCTGGTAGTCGGTATCCCGACCCCTTTCCCCACCTACCTCGGCCATGTGCTTTACCCACCTACGGCGTTTGAGGCCCCCCGGGCCGCACCCAAGCCAGGAGGGCGGGTTACGGGGGGTTTGTCACCTGGCCCCCTTACACGCGACCTGATCTCCTTCACCCTCTCGCTCAGTTAAGGGTTTAGCTGCTGACCAACCTGTGTGTCTCTCTCTCTCTCACACACACACACACACACATACACACACACGCCGTCCCGCTTTGCCCGCTGGGATGTTCGGTTGGCGGTTATGTGGCGGTTGTGAACAACTCAGGGCTCCAGCTTCGACGCATGTGCCAAGCAGTGGCGCCTGTTTGCCGACATCACTAACGACCTAGGTGGGGGTGGGGTTGGGGGTGGGGTGGGGCGAGGTGGAGGGCACGTGGGCGCCTTATTTGAACATGGGCTGAGTCGCCTTCCCTTGTAGGAAGGGGTGAGGCGCGGGACAAACCCCCTAATACCCCCCAACACCAAATACTGCCCCACCACCTTAACCCCCCCCCCCCAATACACACACACGCAGGTATGACGGTGGAGCTGGCTTCCCCCCTCTTCCCGCGGGTCATGTTTCTACCCATAGCCTGCTTGGGGAGCGTCGCACGCAGCCTCACAGGTATGCAAGGCAGTACGAATCTGCGCAACACGCGGTCCTTTTTCCCCACCTTTCCCCCCTCCGCCGGCCCTCCCGACTGGCGGGGCCCCCTCCCTCAACCCCCCTCCCCTCCCAACTAGGATAGTTGGGTCGGTCGGGTTGGGCGCGTGTTAGAGGTTGGGAGGAGCACTTGCATGTCACCAGCAGCTTATCACCAGCTTATCAGCCAGTTCTTGGCCAGGCCGGCAGCAAATCGTTTTTCCAGCTTACGTCAGTACTACTTCTTCGCTGCCTCTACACCTACCTTTACTTCTGTACGGCTTCATTCTACTTTTCTTCCGCTCTTACTTCTTTGGCGGCTAGGTAGGTAGGTAGGTTTCCGACATCATCTTCACTACATCATCCACAGGTCGCCGCCTTCAAGGACGCCTACTGGTCAGTCCCGCTTCTTGTACATTCTTTTCTTGGCATCAGCTTCATTCGATCGTCGTTCGCCTCCCCCCTCCCCCTTCCACCGCTCTCCCGCCCTCAAGGTGTTGCCGGGGGAGCCACCCGGGCCGCACTCACCCAACACTTCGCGAGGAGGGGCAATGCGGCGGATGTGTCGGCTAAGGAACAGTCGCAGGTGGGTGGGGAGGGAAGGAGGGGGCCGGGATGGGGAGAGGGAACGAGGGGTGGGGAGGGAAGGAGGGGGGGAAGAGGGAAGGAGGGCGCGACAAGGGGGGACAAGGAAAAAGGAAAGAGGGCAACCGACGGGGGGCGTAAGTAACGGCATTACTCACACGGCGGCAGCCTGCGGGACTCGTGTGTCCTGTCCTGACGTCCTTGAGAGAGCCCCCACCCCCACCACACACACACACCGCCCCCTTCAGGAGACCGCCACGACCATTTTGGGTATGGTGACGGGCATGGCTGTGACCCGGCTGCTGGCGGCGGGGGAGGGGCCGGCGGGGGGGCCAACCGGCGCCGCCGGGTTTGTGATCGCCTGGCTTGTGTTCCTGGGCCTTACGGCGGTCCACGTGGTGGCCAACGTGGCGGCGATGCGGGTGCTGCTGCTCACCTCGCTCAACACACCCCGTCTGGAGCTGCTGGTGGACAGGTGGGAAGGAGGGAGGGAGTACGGCAAGGGCACGTCAAGAGTACGGCGGGATTAGGGGGTGAAGAAGACCTAGGGTTTCTGGGGGTTGGGTGGGAGAGTGGGCTGGGTGGGCGGGTGGCCGGGTTGGATGGGCAGGGGCAGAGGGAGGGGGTGGCTGTCTTTTGGGGGGGGGTTGCGCTGATGACTGTCTGTCCCGCGGGTGCGTTTTGCTTTGTCCGCGAAGGCGGGGGAAGACGGGGTAAAACCGCGAACAGGAAGACTCTGCCACGAAACACAGCTCCTAGCCCTCCGGGAGTCGCCAGGACGAGGAGGGGGAGGAGGGTAGCCCGCGCGGCGCCTCCCCCTTACCGTAAGTAGGCGGGAACTGATGGCCCTCCATCCCCGTACGGCAAAGTTCCCACCCTCGCCCTCGCCCAGCAGCCCAGCCCTGCAGCCCAAACCTGCCTGGGTGGTACGGCCCTTCATGGGCCGCACCTCCCCCTCGGCCATCGGGGTGGCCAGTACCGCCTCACTCACCGCTGACCCGCTCTTCCCCAGAAGTATGTATGTATGCACATATGTATGGTCGTATGTATGTATGCATGGTTGCTCGGTTGAGATTGGTGCCCGTTAGAGCAGCACATGACCCCCTTCGGATCTGACCTGCAGTCCCGGGGTCGGCAGCTCCTCCGTGCTGCATACACCCCCCCCTCCCCCTGCCCGTCCACCTCCCCTCTGCCCCTCG